TAACCTGAGGTAAGTCAGGTATTGCTTTTTTCTAAACAGAAAGAAGAACGATAAGCATGAATAATAGTAACAGGAGGATCAATCATAATTTGGTAAAAAAAAAATCACCAAAATGTGTGTAGCTTTTTTAAAGTCCGTCAGTATATATATGTTGTTACGCCCTACGTTCAACCGGCACACAATACTGTAATTTACGCAATTTACACAGAAAGATAAACAAGGTAAAGGAAAATACAATGAAAAGAGACAACTTCTTTAAAAACCTACAAAAAGTTAACTAGTGCCAAATTTCAGGCCGTCGAAATAGGATGTTCTGATTACAAGTGTGCATCAAACATTTCTGTTAGGTGGTATTGATAATAATTACGAACAAGAACAAATATTCATATAATGTGACCATTAATCCAACCAGATAAAGCTATTGCGTACCGAATAACAAATTAAGGAATCTTTTGTGAAAAAACATCATAATGCTGCTATGCGAAGACCCGCATTTACGTTAGATTTATTCTTTATATTTCAAGTGATTTTTCCACAAGATATAAATGTACATATCGCAGAAACAGGTCAACATTTTATGTATATATGATATACGAAGCCAAACGAAAGAGGCTCAAAAACAATACCGTTAAATCGAAGGATGTGAGTACACCTTAAGAATGACCTAATGATGGGACATTCAATGTTTGTATAACAGAAAGAAGAAAAAAACATTAAATGCGAATGTCAAAATGGCACCAATATATAAAGTAACAGTGTGGACAACCGTAGTACTTATGTTGTTAATACAACTGAATCATTTACTTTTACTTTGTTTGTTATCGGCTATCGATAACAATGATTTTACGCTCACTCAGTCTGTCAGAGACCTTCCAGTGGGGATTTGAATAATCACTGGTTACACATTTCGATACATAAAATGAAACTCTTTTCACAAAACTTTAAAAGAATTTGTTTAAAATATTCTTTATATCAGCACACACAACAGTTTTATTTAAGAGAATAATAAATGTTCAGAGCTAATATCATTAAATAATCGAAAAATACATTTACACATTTGGATTTTCATTGTAAAAAATTTAAGTCGATGGGGTTAATTCATAAAATATCTTAAGAGAAAAAAATACTCCCTCGTTTTGATCATTTAAGAGTAACCTACCATGTATTTAATGCATAGGATTTTTTTGTGAAAAGACTTCCGGACGATGAAAAAAAAAATCATTTTTTTAACTGGATATTTTTCACATGGATCATATTCCAGTACTACACAACTCAATTGCCTCTATTTATGTATATATCTTTATGTATATCTAATTAATTTATAGACTATTCTGTTTGTATAATGCTTTTATGTAAAGGGGAAACGGTTACGCGTGTGTGTAATCCTTTTTGTCGATTTGACCAAAGATAGTTAGTCATAAACTTGATTACAGTACTCGTCGATATATCATTCTTGTATCTCACGAATTTGGGTCTTTTACTTACAGAACTTATAACGTATTTTATTGTAACGTATTTTATTGTTGAAGAATGAATGTTGCCTGTTTTTTTTATTTTTTTGTCGTTTGTTTGTGTCTCATTAACATACAACCGGATCCCCTCTTCTACATATTTAAAAACATACGAGATGACATCAATACGGAAAAGCGTGTTCATGCATGGTTGTACTTAATCTCGAAGTCACAATGTGGTCTTTAAAAAACATTTTGTAAATGAAAAAAAAAAAAAAAAAAAAAAAAAAAAAAATTGAATGTTTATTTCGGAAAAAGAGGGACGAAAGATACCAGAGGGACAGTCAAACTCATAGATCGATAACAAACTGACAACGCCATGGCCAAAAATAAAAAGACAAACAGACAAATAATAGTACTGATGACACAACATAGAAAACTAAAGACTAAGCAACACGAACCTCACCAAAAACTGGAGGTGATCTCAGGTGCTCCGGAAGGGTAAGCAGATCCTGCTCCACATGTGCCACCCGTCGTGTTGCTTATGTTATTACAAATCCGGTAAATAGTCTAATTCGGTAAGTCACATTCGTGAAAAGGGAAGGGTATTGTAGTTACGAACATATCCGATATTATCTGTGAAACGGTTATTCCATAACGGTCAACCAACTCGTGATGGCGTTCGTAAAATTTACGAAGGGATGAATTCAACTTCACTATTTGAACTCTTGGTTTAATAGATTCCTTGTGAGCAGCAATCCTCTATCAAGGAAATCATGATAGGAAACACAAGCCCGGGAATATCGTATCAATTGGGAGAAATATACTCCGTATGCAGGCGCTGCTGGAATGTTGCTACATAGAAATGGAAAGTTCAGAATTGGGAAGCTGAAATCATCTCTTTTGTCGTAAAGTTTTGTTTTCAACCGACCGAAAAAGTTACGTCGTGTACATTATAACAATTATTCAATTTCAATCCAAATTAAGCTGTTGCTTTTTTCCGCTTTGAGCAAATTTTGACCACATCATTGCACATTCTAACAATTAATTTCCTACCTGATACATATATTATATGCACATTTTCATTGAAATCTTAAAAAGGACGAAGTTGATATATAAACTGCCGTCAATTATTGTGTGTGTGTAAGTTGGACCGTTTAAAAAAAAAATGAATTGGTACCCAAAAAAAATTGGAATGGAAAAAAAGGTACGTTGTTTCAGAAATAAGAGTGAAAAAAACTAACTGACTTACATTCAAAATTAGGGAGGAAAAAAAAAATACGACACTAAGATTAAAAAAGTAATGTTCTTGTTTGTGCATGAGAAAAAAAAACAATCCACACCTCACAAAAAAAAAACAAAAAAAAAAACACACACGCGTAGAAAAGGAAGATGATAGTTGGTGCATAATCATTCTGCTACCAAGGGTTTGTCACTAGTATAGTAGTTAGCAGAAAAGTTCCAGTTTCCAAAATCCACCAAACTATACATTTTACCTACAAATATATCGTGAAGTATATGCAAATTTCATAAGGCTTGGTCCAAATAGCTTTTTACTGTCCAATATCTTGCAAGTACGAAAAAGACAGTACGAAAATATATTTTGTCTATGTTTTGTAATTGCACAACTATTGAAAGTTTATCATGCACTCGTTCTAAAATAAATTTTACATAAGATAAATGTTAAAAGATACTAAGTGAAAAAAAATTAGACAACCGCAATGGGTTAATCTCTTTGACGTCCGAAAAAGATAATAGGCAACACATACATTGTAACTTTTCAAGCTAGTTAAATTAATTTTTATGTTTATCAAAACATAAAAAAACGCAAGTAAAGAACGTTGAAGTATTCAATATTAATCAAAACACAAATGTTATGCCTGTACTAGTTTTATGAATTATTTGATTTAGGCGTTGAGAACCTTTGGTGACCCCACAGTTTAAATAGATATAAGAAGATGTGGTATTAGTGCCAATGAGACAACTCTCCATCCAAGTCAAAATTTATAAAAGTAAACCATTATAGGTCACAGTACGGTCTTCAACACGGAGCCTTGGCTCACACCGAACAGTAAGCTATAAAGGGCCCCAAAAAATTACAAGTGTAAAACCATTCAAATGTTTATAATAAATACGACGTGATAAGTGGGCGTTACAGACGAACGTTCACCTAATTTAACCCAGTCAATGGGAGATTTGAGCGCGCCAAAAAATGGTCTCGTCCACAATGTTATGAAAACGATACTATATATGAAAAAAGCTGGAAGATGAAAAAACAATCAAGTAGATCCTGCTTTACATGAGGCATTCGTCGTTTGGAACAATCGAGGCGATATTTTATAGTAACTACTTTAGAGTAATCATTAAACAGTATATTTTAGATCGACAATGTACAGTTTGATAATAAATGGTTACAATTTTAGAAAATATAATTTTCCTTTCATTCCACAACACTACAATATAATACAATGTTATACAAACATAATGAAACCGGAACATAAAATCGGTAAAGGTTGCACTTTGTAAATATAGCTGTTTTACAAACCACGTCTCTTTTGTGGAGATATATAATATTCATAGATATTTTGTTTTGTTTACCTACTAGTTCTCGGATATGATCTCTTTGGTTCATCTCGTAGAGACATAACTTTGGAATGTTACAATATGGGATATAACTCATTAACTATATATAGTAGAGACCTAGGGTCATTTTATCTGAGGTCCTTCCTTTATGACCTTGAAATTTAGGTCAATGTCAAAGGTAAATTTGACGTTCTAGATTTTGACCTTTGCAATAAATTCATATTCAGACATGATAAAGCTATCGGATATTCTGCATAAGGTTGGTAGATATATGACCTTGAAAAGGTAAGTCGGAAGTGACCTTTTGTAAACCGGAAGTAGCCATTTCCTGCACTGATTTTATTTAAAATTACCTAGAACCATATATTTTTAGAATCAGTGTGAAGTAACCTATCAGATGGTACCGGAAGTGAAATTTTTTAAACCGGAAGTTAAAATTATCTCTCTTATTTAAAGCAAAAGTAGATAGAAACCATATATTTTTACAATCAGTGTGACTAAAGCTATCATATGAAACCAGAAGTGACATTTTCTCAACTGGAAGTAGCAAATTATCTCCCTTATTTCAGACAAAAGTATAAAGAAACCATATAGTTTTTGAATCAGTATCAAAAAACCTATGACTGGACACCGAAAGTAACTTTGATTTAACCGCAGGTAGCTTCTTATGAATTATTTAGAAATTTACACACTTGTGAAAAATAGGAAAAACGAAGAACAATCATTTATACAAATTAAAAACCAATTGTTCCGTTTTTCCTTTTTTTCACAAGTGTGTCGTTAATACAACAAACACACGTTTTATGTAGAAAAGTTTACTCCTTCTGTTTTATATGACGTGGGATTGATATCTTTCAGACATCTATCTCACATCTTTATTTATTCGTAATGTTTTTGAATGCTTCCATTGAAATAATAGCAATCTAGTTAAAGTTGCGCATTTGCGCTGTTATATTAACAGGTAAAATAAGATAACAGTTTATTTACAAAAAATCTGATTAAAAAAAATATCTGGTATCTTGTTTAAGATAATAAGCTTTTGAAAATCCCCGACACAATTTGTGGGTGCCGGTTGCCTGCACACGTAATAATTTGCCGACAAGAAAAAGTTTGATCTGTAGACACTAAGTTTAAAATAATTCAATGGGTTTAAACGTGAAATGAAAAAAAGAATGATATGCCGACAGATTTTATATCTTATCCAAAACGCTATGTACAATTGTGAAAAGCAAGGATGCAATCATTGAATCTTATGAAAGTTAAACCAAATCTCTATCGAGAAAAAGGAACAGATCGTCAGCTCATCAAAATGTTGATGCAGCTTTGTTTGGATAGTACAAAGAAAAACAAAACGAAAATATTCCAATAATTGGACCGATACTGATAAGTTTCCGTTAATAAATTTGGGAATTTATTGATTAAAGCCTTTATATAATGATATTTTAAACAAGGATTCTAACACCGACGATAAAAAAATAGACGTCCAACCAAGAATGAATAAACAACAAAAAGTGATGGACTACTGGGGTTAGTGACAGTTCGTAAAATGTCTCAAACATGTCAAAAACCAGACAACTTTGGTGAACACTTATTTTCGGCACTTGTGGAAATTGAACAAAATATTTTCAAGAAGGCAAAAACAACCTGACATCGTCATCTCTTTTCCGACGTTGTAAACATAATATAATTTGTTTGTATATGTAGCATTAATTTTTTGCTAAACTACCTTGTCTAGTTCCACAATGTTCCCCTTACAACGCAATCGTATATTGTCTAACGAAATTTGTTATATCAAAATAACGGTTTTTGTCTTTATCCGTTAAGTTATACCGTTGGTCCTCAAAAATTCGTTATAACCATGTTTTACCTGGTTAGGAAACATTTCGCTGGTATTTTAATTTTCGACCTTTTTTTTATTTGTGCATTTTAATGGACCAAAGGAGAATCTTTAGGAATAACCCAGGCAGATTTTCCCTATTTATAAACTAAACAAATTACAAGAAGTAACAAAACAATGACAATAGTTAAAACGTGTGTTGGTATGACCGAGAGTTGCATTATCTGTATACATAAACATCGTCTAGATATTAGATTTTTTATGGAAGTTCTCAATGCCTTCAACATATATTCATTCTTCCTCACTTTCACTGCTTGATGACGGTAAAGGCTCTGCTCTAGCTAACTGATCAATGTCAGAATAAATTGTTCTGTTTTCATTACCATGAATGACAAAATGACGTGTTGGATGCTTGACTTCAAACATTACTTCAGCGTAGTTCATATTTATTTCGTTGATCTGAAAATATCAAAAACTAATGGACTAAGAAATCAAAGCTCATACTGATCATCATCAAGAACGTTTTTTTTCAAGTCGCTACTAAAAACATGAAAAATAATAAAACTTATTAAAAAGTAGCAAATTTAAGTCTATAACGCCGTATGAAGCTTTGTGAAGATTGTCGATGTTTAGTGTCTTTATAATATCTTAACATGCATATATTCCTTTTGATTTAAAATTTCGGGGGAAAATCCCACTACCTTCGTTTTCTGTGTATAATGTGCATCGTCATATTTGCTGTTCTGTTGGTTACACGGTGCTAATGAAATGCTATCCTTACCTGTGCATTGGCACCTTGAGATATTATACCTCTGACGTCATGTCCAGTATTTCGTTGAGGTTTTCTGGCTAAAAGAAATCAAACCTATTTCATTAACTTTCTTTTTATGTATGAACAAAATTTTGGCAAGTACGGTATTTGATGATATATTCCTGGATGCCTGTAAACATCACACTAATTTCCAACAAATCCCGTGCCTGAGGGTTATTTGAAGATTTGTTCACCCAAGAAAATCATATTTCCTTAGGGCATGGTCCAATGGAAATTTGACTTTTCAAGGGTGAAAACATCTTCATATCTCCCTAAGCCAAGGGAAATGAAGTTATTTTCCACGGCCTAAACTTTTTATAACAACGTTCAAACGTTATGTACAGTAACCGCGCGTAACGTTGCACGAGGTAGTCCGACATTTCGGAGGGGAATATGATACTCAGAGGGGAATATGAAATTTTGTTCAATGTCACGTGTGATCGTCTAAACCAATCAAATGTTGATTTCGCTATCAATATTGACAAACAGTGGAATCAAACTTTCTATTACACCATGTACCAACCATTTCCATGTTGCCCATTGAACAATACCCTGTACACAATACATATCATTTGTCATTCCCAATTATACCATGTACCATAAAACAATCCCAATTATACCGTTCTTTAAATTCCTTTTTTTTTAAATCATAAACGATAGTGCACATACAATTCAATTTAGAAGAAAGCCTGTTATTACAACACGTACAAATTTTAATATTTTTTTAAGAAACTAATTACGAGAGATAAAACCATCACATTTATCAATCGAACTGAACACAAGTCCTCTCCACCATTTACGTTTTATTGGTAATTTTACACGATTCAATGGTTGCTAAGAAAGCGTTATATTTGAAAAACGTAATCCAACGACTGGATGTTCAATTCTAACAAGTCGAGTTGGAGACATATCAAAGCAACACACATATATATAGAGGGAATCGTATGAACTATAAAATGAGCGAGACCACGTGCGTCGACAGGGCGAATGTCCTCTGCGATACATGCATCAATATGTTCATGATGTTAATATCGACAAAATTTGTAAATACAATTTCATAAATATCTGTATTTTATGAAACCTAATTCGTCAAACAAAAGTATGCAATGACAGAATATAGAAGAAAAGACGATTGCCTCTTTATAAAATATAAACTTCAATAACGTAATAACTGCAATTGACTATGTGGTGCTTTTCATGAAATTGTTAAGTAATCGTAATCATTTTTTGTGAAATCTGTATAACTGATCTTCGTTTCATAATAACTGATACACATTACAATAAAACTAAACTATTTTCGATTGGAGGACAGCTTTATAACAGACGATATACATTTCTACAGTTCTTCTTTTTTTGCAGATTAGGTCTTTTATTTATATTTATGGAAAACAAAATGTACACTTCATATATGAGATACGCAGAAATCAAAAGAAGCGAATCTATCCAAGAATACTACAGTGAAAGTTAAATCTGCCTTTTATATTGACTTACATCTAGAAATTGACAAAAAAGTAAGACAAAGTTTTTCAAAAGACGATCTTATTTACCCTTTCCTATTGCATGCATTGGAAAGTATCATTTTTTAAAAATCATATTCCACATATCAATTACCATTCAAATATCTATCTCCTACATCAGCATGTCTTTGGAAAGACGAAACAGCTTCAACTTGTTCACGTACATTGTTTTGTTCAAAAAATCTAGATGACTGGTACAAGCCATTTTCAACCAAATTTCCTGATTAAAAAAGAAAGGATAAACAAAGATAAATGGACGTAAACGTTTGTTATATATAAAAATGCGATAACAGTGTTTAGTAATGAAATTTATAACGTGTCAGTTTCATATTTTAGTGGCCCTTGGATGTGACCAAACAAATGATTTTGCAATAATCACATTTTCTGTTATGCCACCAGGTAGGGTATTTTAAAGACGTTTAGTCTTTGACACATGGTTTTTAATTAGTTGATACAGGCTTTGGACTAGCTTTGAGTAACTCTGAGTACTCTCAGATCTGTACTCAATTTATCTCTGTGTTTTTGTTTTTTTATTGGTGTTCGTCTGTGCTTTGTATCGATCTGATGAGCAAAGCCCTTTTCAACTGTTTGTTATAGTTTGTACGGATGTCGTAATGTTACACCACTGTGCCAGGTTATAGGAGGGCTTGGCGCCAGCAGACATACTTAACTCCGCCTCGTTATGTATGTGCCTGTCCCAAGCCATGAGCCTGTAATTTAGTTGCTGCCGTCTGTTTCTGTATATCATATTTTGTTTTCGTTTATTGTTTTGTACATAAATCAGGTCGTTAGTTTTCTCGTTTGAATTGTTATACATTTCTCATTTCGGGGCCTTTTTTATTTTACAATGCCTTATGGGTTCTGCTAATTGTTGAAGGCGTATGGTGACGTATAGTTGTTAACTTCTATGTCATTTAATCTCTAGTAGAGAGTAGTGTCATTGGCAGTAATACCACATCTTCTTATTTTCATATGGACAAACTTTTATGTGTCTTTTACACCACTCTCATTTGATATTTGCTAATGGCAAATGATCTTTGTATGATTCTCAAGATCTGATTGTTGTTTTTGCCTGCATATTGAAGCATATCAATATTATTTGCATTGGTCAATTTTTTAATTAGTAATTCAGATCAAGTGAATAAACAAATTTACAGCTGAAAGCATAATTTAATATAGAAATAAAAACTTGCTGGCAAACAATTAAACAACAGGTTTTGCCAGGACTTTAGCTCCAGTGGTACGGGATATTCAGTATCCCAACAAAAGTGACAAAAGACAGCATACGGAGAGTTTAGATTTCTGATGAAGTGTCACATGTGGAGCAGGATCTGCTTACCCTTCCGGAGCACCTGAGATCACCTCCATTTTTTTGTGGGGTTCGTAATGCCCAGTCTTTAGTGTTCTATGTTGTGTTACGTGTTCTATTATTTGTCTATTGGTGTTTTCTTTCTTTTCTTTTTTAGCCATGGCGTTGTCAGTTTATTTTCGACTTATGAGTTTGAATCTCCCTTACCTGTCGCCTCTCTTTTAAAGACAGTATGAGCTATTTACTATATATTAGATAAATGAGAGCGGTAAATTTTTTTCTATCATCCTCCCTGTCTTTTTCTTTAATATTAATTACAATATGAATCATGATATAATTACAGAAAACAACAGTGTAACAATTGAAGCATAATATGATCCAAGTTTCAATAATTCAAAATTAGAAAACATGTACTGCAACAATCATGTCTATAATACAAATTCGAAGGAAGTTTTAGCTATAGTGTATGGATACAAATTAACATGTAATATGTGGAAGCAATAGAAACTAAAAGCAACTAAAAAATCAATCAGTTTACAGGCAAATAAACATAAATATTAAAGCTAAACTCAATATATATATCAGACATCGTCTTTGTTCTTGATTGGTGACTATTTATAGTTGTATAACTCTCTTTATTAATATTGAATGTCATTTCAAATAATACTTTGAATCCTATAATAAAAACTCGACAACGATCAATGGCAAACAACTTTCCACGCCATAATCGCGTCTCGTCAATAAAGCCCTCATAAGTGGCACTAGAATCAAATATGCTGGACGTCCAAAATAAACTGAAAGTTCAATAGCATTACAAACCGAAATATCCGGAAATTTTGCAAACTACGGCTAAGACAAAGTATGCCTGGGGTAGAAAGACCTTAATATGTCGAGTAATTAAAAAAAATTTAAAAATATTTCATGTCAAACAAAGGTATTGACTACTGGGATGGTAATGTCATCGGAACTGAACGTCCCCAAGCAATGGCATAACAAACAGTGTACATTTTTGTAATATGTGATTTTTAACAAACATATAGAACGTTTTCAAGATCTTGAAATCAACAGTCAAGAATAAAAGGACTGTTTAAAAATGTAGGGTTTTTAATAAGTTTTTGTCACAAATGATTAAAATGACTACACACTCGATAAAGTGCTGTTGCTTTGAATGCACTATTTAGCGTAAGGGGCGTATTTGTTGATTATGTTTAAGTCTGGTGGTATATTAAATGTTTTAAATATGTTGTGACCAGCGTCTTCCTTACAATCATAAAATGGGGTTTTTCTATTAAAGAAATAATTTCACTTTTTTTTACACAAACGCTTTGTTTTACAACATATATATTTAGTAAGTTTTGAAACGTGTCGTTTATATTTTTATCGATTTGCCTTAACCGGTTCACCAATAAATTCCTAAAGTCCTAACAGATATAATAATGGTGTAATAAGAAGACCAAACCAAACATAAATAATTATTTATCTTTTATATTGCGATTTTTAAATGCTCTCTCTCTCTCTCTCTCTCTCTCTCTTTGCTATAGTTTCTAACATGTACGTCATTAATCGTGAATAGTTGCCTTTATAGCAATCCAATCACATCTCTTTAATTTTCACAAGAAAGAAGAAGTAGAAAAAATATAGTTCAGACAAGTATGCATGTATATTAAAACTATGGATACATTATTGAGATTAGATTAAAAATTTTACCTTGAGCATCTTCTTCATTATCATCAATCCGGCTGAAAAAAGTAATTGAAATTATCAATACCTGTTTTTTTATTAACCAGATGATGAATGAGACACAACAAAAAATTTTGGAACAGCTCTACATTAACATAGTACTACTGACATTATTTTTTACTTCGAAACAGAAACATTGTTATCAAATGTAGTTCTTCAAACCATACTTAAAGGAACTTTTTAGTATTGCGTTCGTACAATAATTTGTAGAAAATAATACTGTATTTGAAAAGCCAACTGTTGGTATTGGAAAACATTGGAAGATACCAAGACCTTGTTGATAAATATTCCATATCAACTTCACAAATGATACATGATGGTCTAGAAGTATAAATTCTAAGTACTGATGTTGTTTATCATCTTAATTACTTGTTATAGTGTTCTTTTTTATTTATCCTTGTACGTTTTTAAACTTTACTGTTCATTCCATGTTTGGTAATATACTATTTGCGTGGCTCGATACTTATACATCCCTCCATTGTGCTATTATGCTATGGTCATTTTTTTTTTTCGTTTTCGTTCTATTTTTGCTTATGTTCTTTGTCTATAGAGTGTATATATGCCATTTTATTTTCTTTGTTGAAATAGTTATTTGTTTTTATAGTCATTAGAAATAATATATTACAAGGTTGACTGCTGTACCACAATGATTGACATTTTTACCTATTATGTGTTTGTTTTGCTCACACATTGTTGTCAATAATATGGATTTCTATGCAAATGTCATACAAGTGAGGGGTTTAGCTAGCTATAAAACCAGGTTTAATCAATCATGTTTCTACATTAGGAAATGCCTGTACCAAGTCAGGAATATGACAGTTGTTTCCATTCATTTGTTGTGTTTGAGCTTTTGATTTTGCCATTTCATTAAAGACTTTCCGTTTGGAATTTCCCTTGTTTGTGTTTGTTATTTTACTTCTTTCAAGGAGGAGACTAAAAAGAGCCATTATTTACCCATGGCATTGCTAAATTCTATTGCATGAACAAATAGGTTTATATAACCTGGACATTTTTGCAGAAAAGGTCATAAGTGTTATCATTTTGAAGTTCCTAACATGTTGAAATTGAAAGATTTGATCGAAAATGTAATTTTACATATAGTTTGTTTGCCGAGACGTCACCCGACATGGATGTTTTACACCTAATTAGATCTTTTGAAATGCATTTTCTTCAAACATATATGTTAACTTGAAGGTTTAGCTCATATTCAAATATTAATAAGATTTAAAAATTAGGTTATTGAGCATATTTAAAAAATAAATATAAATACTGATGTCTTACATACTAATTTTGAAAATGTTTAGTCATTTGGTAGATTGATTACACTTTTTGATTTTCAAATTCATGGTTCCCACATTGTGGCCTTATTATACCTGCTTCTATAACTATTTTAAACTCTTTAAATGTTTTGCGTGCCTGTATTTCTATCTGTGTTTATGTTAATTATTTTTTTTCTTTTAGTAAAGATTATTTTTCTCCAAAAAACGTATCTGTTGGCTTTTGATTTCGTAGTTTCACCTCTTTACGATAATTTTTGTCTCCTATTAAAAACAAGTTTTAATTCAAAATTGCCTTATTTGTAGTTAACTTAAGGTATTGACCAAGACTAAACCCATCGGATAACTAATGGAAACTAAATATATTCCTCATATGTATACTCGTATGCAAATTAAGGGCATCCGATACAGTTTCTCGATATAATGTCATTTTCATAATTTTGAAATATGTTGTAGGCCTTGGCGAGTTATAACAAAAAACACAAAATAAAACATAGGTCACCGTGCTTGTTTTCGAGAAAATTGAGGCTGAAAATTGGGGATTTGTGCAATTTTGTAAAAAAGTTAGGCAATGTTATAAATTTTTTGGAGTAGATATTCTTCGTCGTAAATTAATAAGATTGGTTTCAATCTGAAGCTGTGATAAATGACAATAAGGAAAAAAATAAATCCCTACAAGAATGACTATATAATTATCCAAGCCTTGCTTGACATTGCGGACAAGATGCTCAAAGTGGCATATTTTTTAACCTAAAAATATGGAAATAGGGTAGTTCTGAAAATGTCATTTTTCATATTTTTCTACATTGACTGCATTTTGTCATGCTTTCTCCAAATCTCAAATAAAAAATATATGTCACCGTGCTGGATTCGAAGATAAACGCAATTTATCCTAAAAATTGCGTCTCCCCTTGATAACCTCAACGTTAGCGCGAAAATGCACGACGTCGCTGGCAGACAATTTCGACGTCTCCTGCAAATTATCTCTGCAAGTTATCGGCGACATTTTTCAGATGCATAAATATTGCTTATAAAGAGCTACCTATAAATTGGTAATATTGTTTTCGGAAATAAAATCATGTGAATCATAAATACCTCTCTCTGTTTGTGGTCCAAGTTAGAAACATCTCAAGTTATTACGGACTTGATATTTTTTACGGCTTTTAAAATTTAAAGACTCGCGGCAATTTAGAACTTGACATGCAGGTACATGTACTGTACACACTCGTGTATTGTTTTATACCATATGTTGACCTCTAGATGTTTTTGTTTTGTTTTGTTTGGTGGGCTGCTGTTTCATTATCATACCCCTTAAAATCCTTTATTCACGTTTTAAACACTTTTAAGAATTTGAATGTATTAATAAAATCAAACTTTTATTCGGGTCAATGATTACAGTTGAATAAAATTTGGAGGCTCCTACTGTTTTTAACCAGTTATAAAGTTCACTTGTACATACTTATTTTCACTAGATCACAGCACAAAGGTTACTTACCATTGCTTATATGAGGTCTTTTCCTGCAAACGGAACTTGTCAGAAAAAAAAATCTTATAAAGCAGAATCTTCAATTTGCTGAAGGAGGCTTCTACCAGACAGAGAAATTGTACCATAATCATGAAATTTTTCAGAATTTTTCAGAATTTTTGATTTGGCAAAAACGGTTGAATTAATATCTGGAAGACTGAACATGTTACCTAATACATCCTCCATAACTTTGGGTTTGTTTTTGTTTCTTTTTATTCTTCTCCCAACTCCCAAATTACGATGTTAAAGCAAGTCACTTCTTAAAGCATTCATAATCTTGTACTATTATATACTTTCTCCTCAGTATTTAATGCTTTTTTTGGGGGGGGGGGTTATTGAATTTTTCAAGTGTACAATTCTTGCCAGATTTTTATAAAACTTATATCGTATGGACACGTTCGAAAATCAGTGCCTATCAACTATTTTTTAAAAGAATTATGCCATTTGGAAATATTAATTATATTGGAAATTGCATTGTATTTGCTGTCAATCCGCCATTTTTCTAACATATTTGTAAAAAGTTTTGAAGAAAAAAAAAATTGGTTATTGCATTTTGTTGGATAAAATACGTGCAACGCGGAGGAAATTGGAACTTTGTTATTTTATAAAAGTTGTATCATTGTAAATATTAGCGGCATACCATTATTTATTTAACATAATAAATGGAATAAATTGTTCCGTTACTTCTTCATGTACCTAAACTTTCGGTATTAGTTTTTAAAAAAATCATTGGTTTTCTGCGCTGTAATAAAATGTCAGAAAATCGGATTCAAATCAAAATTTGATCATGTATGATGAATGATAATAAAAATGATAATTGACATGCATTATATTAGTAACACCGAAAGGGTCAGTCGTCTTGAGATTGCTATATCCCTAGAAAGAGCAGTCTTTTGTGTTAATGGCGTATGTTTTATTTATGACGTAATCGTTAACTGGACGCGTCTGACCAGAACGAATAGTTCACTTTGTTTTGTGGCCAAGCCGAAAATTGTAAAAAAAAATATGAATAGGAGAGAAGTTAAGAGTGATATTAAAAAATAATTCAAATAGATTATTCCGAAATTAATATATCATTTTATTCCGTATATGACAAGGAAAAAAAAAAGAAAAAGTTTTGCTACAATATTTCAAAGTATCGTGGTAGAATTTATGGTAATTGGAAATTTTTATTTCTGTCACAAAACCCAAATCTCTCATTTCATAAAGAGCTCTTCAAAATTCGAACGAATGCTGCAGTCTCAAATCACAATTTACATATCCACCCTTTCAGTGTCAAAATTATACAATACCTATAAAACTTTCTATGTCTTCTAAAATTAGATATTGTTTAAATTATGTCCTAAATTGTTAATTTTATCAAATCCGTTGAAATGTCACACTTGCCGTTTTTTGACGTTTCGGCGTATTTGTTAAGTGTCTAATGAAAAACAATAGGCATTTGCGGTCTTTTCTACGATCTGAAAATTTATTTAAACGTGAAAAGATGTTTTTCAAGTGAAAGAAAAAAAAAATAAGTCGAAGTTTCAAGGGAAAATATTAAAAAAGAAAATAAACGCGAGCTTTTTATTTGTGTCTAGTCAAAATGTCACAAAACGCCGTTTTTTACAATTTTGTTACAAATATGATAAGTCATATAATACAGTTTTGGCGGGGGAATTTTTGAAATTACAATAGCACAAAAAATACTATATATTAACATTTAAATATATATTTCAGAAATTTATTTGAACCCATTTTCGACTACATGTCGAAAGTATTAACGTCACAGTCAGCGACTACTTTTGTCAAGTCATAATGTCACATCATGCTTTTTTACTCGTTTTGACGTTACGTTCTGTATAACTTGACATGTAGTGCCCTACGTCGAAAATATCTCATGCAAAACCATAACTTTTTTATAATTTTTTATATATATACTGTATCGGTTTACTTGTTCATAGTTGAGATTAGATTTCCTTTTGTATATGCAGTTGGCAAATTGGGCACAGGATGTTTGCGCTTTTTCACACATAACACGATAGGAATTTGCGCTTCAAACACTATTGACATTTACGCTTTAAATTTTGATACACCTGTAGTAAATTGACCGGACATTTACGCTTTTTAACTTTAATATAAAAAAGAAGACGTGGTATGATTGCCAATGAGACAACTCTTCACAAGAGACCAAATGACACAGAAATTAACAACTATATATATAGGTCACCGTACGGCCTTCAACAATGAACAAAGCCCATACCGCATAGTCAGCTATAAAAGGCCACGAAATGACAATGTAAAACAATTCAAATGAGAAAACTAACGGCCTAATTTATGTACAAAAAACAAATATGTAACACATAAACAAACGACAACCACTGAATTACACGCTCCTGACTTGGGACAGGCACATACATATAGATTGTGGCGGGGTTAAACTTGTTAGCGGGATCCAAACCCTCCCCCTAACCTGGGACTTAATCGTCTACATTTTAATGAGATACGTAAATAAATTCAACTTGTATTTGTCGTTAGCTAGTTAACATTGACACAGTCTTAAACATAAAAGTATAAGATTATAGAGACAGGTACGGTAAAAAATGTCTATGTCACAATGGTTTCTTATCATTGTACAACAGTTTATAACATTAAAATTCGATATATTAATGAACAGGCGTCTCAGTCAAGAATTGAGAAATAGAGACAAGAATATATATTTGAAATGAGGGCGAAATACCAGTCAGGACAACTTACAAGAGCAAAATTGTTCAAACACGAATGTGATATGGAAAGACTATTTAACTTTTAACCATAAAGAAACTTTTGTAAAAGCGCAAATGTCCTATACAAAAAGCGCAAATGTCCACATTTAAAAAGCGCAAATGTCCTATATGAATTGAAGGCCAAATGTCCATTAAAAAAAGCGCAAATGTGATATGAAAAAGCGCAAACGTCCCGAGCCGGGCAAGAAATCAGATTAAATTATGTTTGTTGTTGTAAATTTTGAATTTGCTTTCAACAATAGTCATACTCAACCTTTAATACAGGTAATGAAATAAACGCTTCAACTAATAACATTTTTATCCAGAAACTATCAAAAGCGGATACAAGAAAGCAGCAGTGAAGACAGTGGTTTAAAAAAAATAAAAATATCCTGTTACAATCAAAAGAAAGAGAAAATATCTTTGCTCCAAGGTGATACTGTATTAATAAATATAATTTATCTGCACTTTAAGAAATATGTGCTGCTTTTGCTTTTCGTTTCTATACGTAGCAAGTCAAGCAAACAGCTCATACAAATTATGTGGTGAGCTGCACGAAATGAAATTTTTACGACGCTATGATCCGTTATTTGTACAATGCATGAAAAATAACGTCAAATTAACGTTACCAAAACTAACATCAACACCGTACGCGACGTCTATACGATATTTTGTTGAAGATCTCACAGAAACTTCAAAATGAGGAACAACAGAAACAGTAATGTGTTTAATTTCTAATAATTTTATTAAACTTTTATCCTGTTAGAATCAAATGCACTAATCTTAATGGTGTAGAAGTTAGCATGCATGATAAACATAAATTGGTGCATCGATTGTACAATATATCGTTCTAATTAGGGAAAATTACACGCATAACGTCCCGCAGAAAGTGACGTTTTGCGGGAATTCGAACGCTTAACGTCGCGCAAAGAGTTAACTCCCTTGAAACTGTATCGGATGCCCTTAAGTTATATAACTACGATGCATACAATTTTAATAAAGAACACTAGTGAAGCAAGAACATTGCGATATTCAAACTTTTTGCATCTGGTGCAGTGAAATTGGTACCTTAAATGTTTTTATTATAGTTATTACTTAAGGCACTAGATCAAGTTAACTTTACCTTGAGTTCTGTTCCAATTTGGCTGAAAATAGTATTATAGATTAACATTTAAAACTAAATCACCACCATTCTTATAATCTTCTGCATCAAATTCTTCAATTTTACCTCGAATGCGAAGGTTGTGGGTTTAATCCCCGATTAAGTCAAACTAAACACTTTTACATTTGTATGTAGGGTTTCTTAAGTGACTTTTTTTAAACATTGGTGGGTTTGGAGTCAGAATCCAGTAGTCAGCACTTCCGTGTTTACATGAATTATCATTGATTTGGTCATAACTATAAATTAACTGTTTATAAAATTTTCCATTTTTCAAAATACTTAGGATTTTTTACCCCGGGATTAGATTACCTCTTCTGTACTTGACAAAGGCTTTTAGAATTGTAAGTCCTCAATGCTTTTTAACGTCGTACTTTATTTGGCCTTTGATCGTTTTTGATTTGAGCGTCAATGGTGAGTCTTCTTCAGACGAAACGCGCGTCTTGCGTACAAAATGTTAATTCTGGTATCTCTGATGAGAGTACTTGTATGTGTATGCTACTATGTCCTCCTCCGATCATTTATTTTTCTTTTAATTTACACTCTCAAATCAGGATAAGCGAGTCTTTGTTGTACAACACAGGCTTCGGATTAATATCACATAGGTTTTATCGCCGAATATGTAATGAACACGATCAGGTACGATTCAAATTCTTTTGATGACTATCTATTTAGATACTAATAACCTGAAGCTGCAGATTATATCACAAATCGAATAAAAAGTCCATTGTGTGATCCGATGTTTCAGTAAAAACAAAAGACAGTTTATATAATCGACGCGTCGCTTTAATAGTTGGTCTATGATAGATTCTCATTATAAGTAATCAAAGCACATGTTTTATATCTTCCTGTTGTCTTTTTTTTTGTCGTTGTATAAATGTTTACTTAAGTATACTCCTACATTAACATCTTGCTATGTTCATTTCCCAATTACTTTTATGTGTGTTTAATACAAAACTATTATAATCAACGGAATGATGGTTATTCCCTACCTTTTCTGCACCTTAGTAAAACAGCTGTTACTGCCACAAATGTTGTTATTATTATAACAAGAGGCAACAGCCACTCAATGGTCAACAAATTTTTATCAGGAAATACCACATTGTCCATGTCTGAAACAGTTCAAATAACAAAGTGACATCTCCATATGAATGGACAAACATATGGCAATACCAACAGGTGCCGATTGAGCTGATAACTAATAGAACACAAAAATGATTCAACCATGTCTAATGTACAAATGAGAATGTTTTTAAAGAACTAGCTTACAATGAGCTACATATACCATAATACCTGAAGAAAAATCGTATAATATACTTCAAAGCTACGTCATACATTACTCCACAAACCGCACTGTAACACAATTTTAAAAGAAAACAATATTTACGAGGAATAATGTCTGAACGGTAAATGCAGCAGCACTTAAATAAATCTCAATCTTTTTGTATTGTAAGTATTAAATAAAGCAAGCGCATCATTCTAAATTAACTACATATATACAGTTTCTTGATTTCCATTGTGAAACCAGATGAAAAAAATAGCAATTATCCAAAAACCATCATTTCATATCATTATACGCATTTCTGCATTTTACGACCTTATCATGACCATATCTCTTGGATGATGAGTTCGATAACAGTGAAAATCAATTAAGACTTTAAAAGCATACACTTTTATCTTAAGAATATGAGGTTCTTGCAAAATAAATGCTATCTGGGGAAGCTATTACTATAAGTATTTGAAAATAAATGGATTCGCGAATTTATTTGTTATCAGAAATATTTTTTACCATTTTGATCTAAATTTATTTATGATGACCGATAAATGGTAATTGCACGGACACTGATAATCAAACTTGGTTCTATGCTAAAAAGTAATACGGTCTTCTTAAAAGAAAACGACAGCAAGGATGGTCTGTATTTCATTATTATAAGACTTCGAGTAGGGAATTTTTAAGGTAAAAATCATAAGCAAATTGAATTCATCGTCCGGAATTTTGCCTGAAAAAGTTGATGGGACAATATCCATGATATCCTGACAAAGGTAATTGTTTGACAGGAAACATCGAACAAGACTTATACTTTATAGAAGTTTGTAATATTGCTTAGTCATATTTTCAAGTCAAAATCGATATCAATTTTGTGCTTTTTAAAAAAATGTTCAAGGGACATACTTCCATAATTCATCTTGGCATTATGCAATAATCGATATCATATTTGTTCTTTATTCCAAGCTGCAAAGTATTGCTGAATAGTTCGAAGTTCATTTTCCTAAATGAAAATTCAAATTTTCAACAAAACTGTCTGTTTTAGACAACAATATAAAACAACATATTAGAACTAAATGTATAAATTCAAAATATTTAACGTTGTATTGAAAACAATTTAAATTCAAGGAGAACGAATCGAATGCTTACCAGCGATATTTGAATTAAATGGAAAACCAAATGTTTAGCCCAATGATTAATTAACATACACTACATCTGGTACACAATTTATATCAAAGGTATGCATATATGCAAACCCGATAAATAAAGTACGTGTAATATTGACATTTAGCCAAGTCTTAAATCCTTCCGAAGCGTAAGACATGTAACACATAAGACATTACTATAGTAAGAATAGGCCTTTCCTCTTAAAAAGTGAATATATACTTACATTTAGTTTCAGACGTGATTATTTCTGCTTTCGTTCTCTTTTCAACATGCTTTTCTGTAGACAAATCTACGAAATTTCCTGTACCTAGGAAAACAATAAATGCACAATGTAAATCTTACTTTCATGTGGAGAGTGATTGGTGTCATGTACTTATGCTTTTTCACTGGGTAGATGCCATAGCTGGTGAAGGTTTCTTCCCTGAGGGAATTACCAGCTCAATAGTCATCACTTCTGTGTTGACATAGAATAATATTGATATGGTCATATTTATAAATACTGTTTGCAAAACTTTGAAGAATCCGAAAAACTAAGGACTCTTCTTCCAAGGAATATATTACCTCAGCTGTATTTGACAAAACCGTTCGGAATTTTGGTACCTCATAGATCTTTAATTTCAGTCCAGATATTGCCTTTTAACTTTTTATATTCGAGCGTCGCTGATGAGTCTTGTGTAGACAACTTGCGTTTGTGGTGTACATAATTGTAAGCCTGGTATCGTCGATGAGGTTTTTTTTTATCATACTATAAAATAACAAGTTTTATTCTATACATGTTTTGAGTAATATATATGTAATTGAAATTTGCTATTCATATCGTCGAGTTTTCATTTAACTATTTTTTACCAAATCAGAAACAAATGTTGAATCCAAAAGCAAAAACAAGTGTTACAATATTCAGACAAAATATTTGTTTTCATATATGGCATTGCTGTTTTGTTGGTTAAGTGTCATGTTTATGAAAAATATTACCAAATATAATAAAAGAAAATCTGGTTTTGCTTCAAAATGTACAGAAAACACCATTTACATTGTTATCATTGCAACCGTGGCTTGCAAGTCAAGATATGAGGCAGACTTAACTGTATCTGTAGTATCCTTTATCTCTAGTTCGATGGGATAGATTCGTTCAACATAGTCACCAAATGTTGTATTATTTAGTAAGAGAACATCGTCTATATAGCGGAACGTAAAGTTAAAGTATATTGCTAACTTCTTATCTTACTTCTTAAGAAGTTCCTGTATGAAGTCAGCCTCATAATAATAAAGAAACAAGTTGGCAAGAAGAGGGTACTATTTCAGTACCATAATTTCAGAGTACTGGATTTTTACTTTTAGTGTGTCGTTCATTTTAGGTAGAAACGTTTTTTGTGATTTGTTAAGATTTTCTCTCGAATGAGTTTCTTATCCTCTATTTCCTCTTTGTAAGAATTAGAGACATAAAAAAGGTTATAATAAAACTTGAATGTAAATAACAATATTTGTTTTCCTATCAATTGAATTCTTGGAATATCGCTTCAAATGGAAAATAACTATTCCATGAGCAATTACTGTTTTCATAGTAACGGAAAGTTTACATGTACGATTAAAAAATCGAAATTACAGTTGTTCGATATTAGCTACTATTGTTTAATAACATCTATCAAAATGTATTATAGGAAGTCTTTAAGTGGAAAATATACAGGTAAATTGTACTTACTTGTCGCACTTACGTTGTAAAAATCTGTGTAAACTGTTGATGAGTGCACATACTCACACTTGTATACACCATCGTCATCTGACAAGAAGTTCGTAATCTGTAAATTGCAACTGTGAGTATCGTATCCACCAAAAATCCTATATTTTGATTTATGTAGTCTTGGATTCAAATCCATTCCCTGTGTGTATGGTATAAAAGCACCAGCATTGGGTGCTAATATCATATTTGGGCCGCTCAATTGGCCATTACACTCATTAAAGCAAGTGCAATTCAAAATCAAATTTTCTCCACGATTTACCAACACTGGCTGTATGGTTTCTTTACCTTGCATATTATCTATAAAAATATATCATAATGAATGCTCGTCTTTATAAAACTTTGATCTTATCGATATTCATCTAATCATATTTAAAGTATTTCTAAAAGCAGATTATGCATTCACTCTGGTCGTAAATACATTCCTTATTGGCATCTATTCAATGACGAACGCTCTGATTGGAACCAACACCAAATTAATTTTAAATGTGTTATATTTTATCTTAGTCATCTAAATGATAAATGAGTTTTTTAGCTCTACATGCAAAATGACATGTTGTTACGTTTCACTCATGATAGTTAAACCATTTACCAAATACACGTATATATATATATTTATATGAGCTTATCTGGTAGATGATAAACAAAGTTAATATTTGCTTAAAACGGAAACATTAGGGAAAGGTGAACGACAAATTAATAGAATTATAAGAATAATTACACTTCATGTGAATTTAGATTCAAGCCTAACCATTCTTTTTTGATATCCATGAGGCATTTGACAAGATTTAAATTGTACAAATACAGTACATATGAATGACAAAATTTTGATACAACCGCTAAATTCACAATTAAGAAAACAAAAGAGACAGCGACAACTACCCATTAAAAAGCACGTTTTAATGCAGATACGTGTATATTCAGCTTACAAATCCCACTACAATTATCTAATATTTATATATGTTGTTGACGTTTATTATACTACTCTGTTTACCGTTTGTTTGTATCATATGAAACATGATAAATTAAAAAGACATTTGTCATTACTTTAATAAATTGTTAAGAACTTATCCTTGTATATAAGAGTTACTTAAATATTGTAATTCTAACTTCAACCTCCGTTTCCATTACTGTATTTGAATGCTCTGTATCAAAATGTATCAAGATGCATTTCAGTAGTATAGTGCAGCATTATGAATAAATTCAATTCAAAACATATAAAAAGTACTTGTTTTGTCCATTGTCCACACATAGTATTTTAAAGATCTTTAAAACATTACCAACATTATGTCTTGAACATCCCGGATTTTTAAATATATCTGCAGTAGAGCCTATTAAAAATGATAAAAATCAACAAATTATTAGAAGTACAACAAACAACATACGAATACCTAAACTAATGATCTTAATGGTTCGATTAGTCTCTGTTCGAACAGTTGATTAGAAACATCAATGAATTCATAAACAATAAATAATGTTCAAACCATACTTCTGATTGAGCATAGGTCTTGTATGAATATATAATATACATAAACTAGTATAATAGTAACGACTATTTAGGTAATTTACCACCCGCATAAAGAAATTGTCCATCCTAAAATCTGCCTGAAGGAGTAAATGACATATGAAACTGCCTAAAGTTCAAAACTAAAAAATGAAAACAACACGTTAAATAATTTCATGCATCCGAAGCGTTTTTCTGGATTTACCTTCATCAGGAACTCTCAAAGTCGAGTATTTGAAAGCCGAGGATGTATAAGTACTGAAACAGTTGAAGAGCTTTGTGACAAAAACCACCTAAAAAATTAGCCAAATCCATCTAAGGTCAACTTTGCCTGAGGCGGTTAAAACCTTAGTTTCTTTATAATTTTCAAAATTTATAAACGGTCAATTTTAGAAAGATTTGTTATAAATCATGTCCGTACCAAAGTACTGACTACTGAGCTGATGATACCCTCGGGGAGTGATAGTTCACCAGCAGAGGTATCGACCCAGTGCTGTAAAAATGAAAACAACACGTTAAATAATTGTTGTTAGATATAATGTGATTAAATTTAATTCAGATAATGTGTTGATGATATTCAACATGTTCAATGATTCTCATCTCCGCACATGACCACTTGTTTTGAATGTGTTTCCTTATTGTATTGTTATGACATGTTCTAAGAAGAGCCACAGTTATGAATTAAAAGAGTCTCAATGTCCAGTGAGATTTGTGCTCTAGCGTTGCACATAACTTTGTTAACAGACATTTGATGCATACTAGTATTTTGTGTGTGTGTAGTAATGTCTTCTTTAAATTGGGTATCTATTTACATTAAAGGCGTAGTAAAGTGACGTCAAACATCAACATTTTACGGAAGTCAAGCAAAAGCACTTCCGGTGCAAGATAGAACGAAAATCAAATCGATTAAATTCATTAAACATGTTCCCAAAATCGAAACAAATGACGAACGAATTGAGAAATGGTCTTGTACTGTTAAAACATCGGTAATATAACTCTCAATATCAACATGATAAACTAACGGTACGCTAGTTTGTGATCATGTACCATGTGGAGGTTAAAAGAGAATAATGCTTCGACCTTTTTTCTAAATTAATAATTGATTTGCCGAATGAATAATTATTAAAAAAATTTACCTGTGAGTATATCTGTAAGAAGAAGAACTAGCAAATACTGACTTCCCATACCTATATAATAGTATTTGTATTAATGTTTATATATTTATCAATCAGACGTGACTAGCTTTTTTACTATAATGCTTGTTTGTTCAAATTATGTTTTTATTATTATCTTCTTATTTTTATCTTATTTTCCTTCTTTTTTTTGGCATTTTCCCGAATTGAATTTACTATTCCTCAGAGGAAACAATTTTTCTATTAATCCATAATAATCTTAGATCTGTTTCCTAACATGGTACAAGGGCATTACTATCTGCATTGAACAAAAGCACTGCTCATATGAAATAGGTACTACACTCATATTCGAGTTTTAATGGCCATTTAACACATATCTACTGTTGTTTTGGTAGATATCATCCAGTCTCGTATTTGTTTAATTTACAACACACGCAATTGAACACACACACACACACACACACACACACACACACACAATCTTCTTCTAACCCATACTTATTCCATGTATAATTAGACCTAATCAAAATATTTCATTTTTTATTTCTTCTTTCCATAAAAAAAATAAAATCCAAAATTACATCCCTGTCAATTTTGATTAAGGTACGAAATGAAATTTTTAGGAGTCTTAAGAAAGATACTTGCCTTTGAAGATTGAAAGAATGTTTCCCATGAAAGAGGTTCTAATGCAGGCCTTCAGCAAAACTTTTTTGGCACTTATCAATTTACATCTTTTTTAAAACTTTTTTTTTCCATTACCAAATTGAAATAAAAAGTAACGACTATATTCCTGTCAGTATTGTTAAGGAAATAGGAAATCAACGTTTCAAACAATTGATTGTTCAATGACCTATATAAAAAATTACGAATAATTTTTCTAAAATCGGAACTCAATTAGAACGATATGTTATAAACTTTGTAACTTTTATTAACAGGAAGTTAAATGAATGTGGTCACCAACAGTACCAATTGAATATTTTTGTTTTTTGTTCATGAACTTGTTTCATTCAAAATTTATAATAATTGATGCGTCATTTTTTACAGACGAAATGGCACAAATGTAAAGGGATGGTTTTTATTTAACTGACACCAATATTTAGAACAAATTCAATGGCAAGTGTATTTTTTAGAAATGTCATATCGTTGCCTATGACACAATTATCTATCAGAGATCGAAAGTCGAGAAAGGTAAACAACCACAGGTTATCGTATAGTTTTAATATTGAGCAAGACAAATACCAAAAAGGAAGCTTTAAAAGATCATTACAAGCTCAAATGTGAAACGACTTCATTCTTCAGATCTGCATGAAGCAAAAGAAATTAACAAAAACACAAAAAACACAAGGTTCCAATTGAAAACAACTCACAATTATTAAAAGGCAGGTCAAAGTCAATTTCAACTAATAAATCAACCATGATTTTTCAAACTAAGATATCAATTAGCTCATATCTAACGTATTTAGTGTGAATATGCATAAAAACACAAAACCAATCCTGCAGAAAAACAAATAAGGATCAATCGGATACATAGTGTTCATATTAACTATATCTAGTAATGCAAAGCTATCTTTGTTTGAATTTATTGAAATAAGTAAGGATGTAGACAAACGTGACAAATTTTAATGGTTTTACTACACACAATACTACAGTGTTCCAACAATTAACATTTTATTATAAGCTATTTCAAACGATAAAACGGATTACTTAGTTGTCATGCTCCATAAACAACATCACCAAAAACAATGTGATGTTGAAAGGTATCCTGGTGTATTCGAAGTACTAGTTCTTCTGAAAAAGCCCGAGGTTTTTGTCTACATGCAGTAGTGTTGAACATTGTATGTTACGTTGCATTTTGATTTATTTTTCTCTGTGTTCCAGTTGAACAAATAATCGCTTACCAAATCAGACACTGTAATACTCAAAATAGGTCAAAAATATTTGTAAAGTGTTATTTTGTTGTCATGGTGAAGATATTTTTTATATTATAAAAATCGGAAGTTATCTATCAAACAATGTTGAACACATTTCCTGTTTGACCACATTTATCAATTTAATGTTGGTTTTAATGTGCATTTTAATTATAATATCCGGGTCTTTTTTTCAATGAACTGTTGACATGGAGATATATCTCGCTTTTGTTTTGTAATTCTGATAGTATATTTCAAATGTTTAAATACAAATGGCAATATTTAAACATGTAAACTATGCACAATATTCAAAGTCGCTGAACCATGACGGAATTTCGAAGTAACAGTATCAAATATTCCTTATAAAATTGCATACTAAATACCATTTAGTTATCATAAATGCTTCCCTTCAAAATATCTTAAACACAAACTGTTACTGTAAAAGAGTGATGAAAGAAACCAAGGGAACATTCAAACTCATAAGTCAAAAATAAACAGACAACTTCATGCTTAAAAATGAAAAAAAAACAAAGAGACAAACAACACAAAACACCGAGGGTTATCTCAGGTGCTCTGGTGTAAACTGTGCAAAAGTTTCATAAACCATAACTGAAGGGGCTGGGCCAAATCATCATTGAAATGAAATGTTACTATGTTAATACAACTGCATACCAAATATTATTGACGTACCACCAATACCACTAATGGTTCCGCATTAACTGACCTTATCACAAACTAATACATTCATTGGCATTATTGATGCCATATCCGCCACCACGCGCCACCAAGCTGTATACAGCATGCACAAGTCTTGCTTTTTTGACTTCGTCGAAGAGAGATAATCATCATAACGTTCGAAACTTAAAAGTAAATATAAACAACCTTTTGATCATTGAACACATTGACGAAAGTATAAGTCACTGAAAAACCGATAAATCCTTGGTACGTCAAAAGACACAACTGAAAAATGCATGACTTTGATTTATTCTTTCAAAGTAACTTTTGGTCATAACGATCCTATATATAGTTTTTACGTAAAAGTACATCCCTAGCTTCATATATTTAGGGTTGGTTGATTTCTGATAAGGTAAATCCAGAAAAAGCGTCATGTATCCCCTGAATGAAGATGATTCAGCACCAATTATCACAATTATATTGAGTGAAAACTCTAAAAAATATGAAAATACAATGTAAATACTATTATTTATCGTAGCGATAGTATATAATTGAGGTCATTTTGTTCTTGACAAGACCACAGGCATAAATAAATTGAAAAATGACAAATTGAATTAACAATATTTTTTAGACAAACATGAGGATGTCTTGGGCACTAAAAGTGTACAATGTTTACCTATAGATGAATTCAAAGGTACAAATCGGACGCAAGAGGTTTTTAAGTCAGATATTTTTATTTAGATTTTTTACAGCTATCATACTTTCAATTCGTACATATCTTTCCGGGGTTATTTTTCAAATTACTTTAAACAGTTATCATTATCCTGTAGATTTTATTTTACAGAAATGCAATTCCAAAAAAGGCGTTCTATAGACTCGTTTCTGTTTTATAAAATGAACATAAGGGAATATCAGTCAGTTTTATTTAAACTAGATACTGATTTGTTGCAATAATGCAATGATGAATCCTGTATTGCAATCACCGTAATTTACTATTTTTAGTAAAAACAAAAGGCAGTCTGAAAATATTTTTCCACTTCAGATTCTGTTTATCTAAAATGCTTGCCCCCTTTAACTGCCCAGCAGGAATAACATCATTTCTAATCAGTACAGAATACATATATTTTAACCCTCTGAAGTGTTTAAAAAATACTTATAGATGGTGGTATAAAAGTACAACATAATTTGTAAGATTCTATAGTGAAAGATGTTGATGCCTCTTTCACTGCCGAATTTTTTAGAAAATCTGTGTTTATGTTATACTGTATATTTTTGTATCATGGTGTCTAGTTTTATTGTTGTTTCGTTGACGTTTATTCAAATATGTTTCATATGTTCATATAATAACAAAAGATGCTCAATAAGATATAGTATTTTTATGTTACTCATAGCATCGTCAGTTCCAGATAGAGGGTTGCTGATCACAAGGAAGCTAATAAACCAAGAGTTCCAAGTGGTGAAGTTGAAGTCATCCCTTCGTAAATTTTACGGACGCCATCACGAGTTTGTTGACCGTTATGGAATATCCGTTTCACAGATGATAGCGGATATGTTCGAATAATTGTCGTAACTACAATCCCCCCCCTTTTTCCCCAAATGTGAATTACCGAATTAGACTTATTACCGGGATTGTACTAGCATGAGCAACACGACGGGTGCCACATGTGGAGCAGGATCTGCTAACCCTTCCGGAGCACCTGCGATCACCCCGGTTTTTGGTGTTATTTGTGTTGCTCAGTCTTTAGTTTTCTATGTTGTGTTTTGTGTACTATTGTTTGTCTGTTGGTCTTTTTCTTTTTTTTTGCTATGGCGTTGTCAGTTTATTTCTGACTTATGAGTTTGAATGTTCCTTTGGTATCTTTCGCCTCTCTTGTCCAGGCGATCCGATACCTAACAAAATATGCTGGTTTGCAAAAACATCTTGTTGAGTATTAACTTTACAAAAACATAAGATATTTGGTTTTTAAGCAAATAATACAACACAGATACATTATGTCCTGACAGAAATCTATCTTGGGGTGAAACTACTTTTCAATTACTATGTATCAGTTTTGATGAAGATCTTCTCAAGATACATTATTTTAAAAGAATTGTTGAGATTAAAATACTTTAAATCAAGGGTCTAAACGGAATTTACCTGTAATATGTTGAATAAATGTGATTAAAACTCGAGTCTTGCCTATTGTAAACCATCTCATTCTCTCTCTTCTAACCCTTCAGATGATATTGTTAAGGAAATAGATAAACTTTTTTATAATTTATTATGGATCACACTAATACGTAGAGTGAGGGAGGATAAGTTATGTAAAAATTTTTCAAAGAAAGGGCTGAAAATGATCAATTTGAATATGTTTATTTAAGCACTTTAATCAACATAGATTAGAAGGAGTTTGCAGAGAGATAGTAAATGGCAAAATATTTCAATGTCAAAAATAGAGAAGAAATTTGTTTTAGTGGTGTTCATTATATATGACATCTTTATATAACAGTAAACAACTATTTTTTCTTCTAGCTAAATAACTCGTCTCACTTGTTGCATTTGTTTCTGTTATACCCTTACAATTTTATAGACGATTTTTCAATACGAATACGTTGAATACATTGACGCCTTCTCCAATCCGTATGACAAATTGCATTCAACTTTGTATTTCATATACAATTCTTATTGACAACATATGGAATATAAAAACAGCAAACGACAACTGACCCGCTTATGGGCTAACTTGCATTAAAGATTCCTCGAAATTTATTCATTGGTCATTATTGCTTGATGGCCAGTGGAAAATATCAAATATATATTCAGCAGGAAACCAAACTAACATTACTTTTAATGTAAAAAAAAAGTGTTCTACACTGTGGGTCGACCGGTATGAAGGGGAGAAGTAAGACTGCAACAGGAAAGAAGGGTATGTTGTTTAGAAATTATGCCATGCTAAAGGCCACCTGTTGGCGCCTCAATGAATAGTTGTAAGGATTCCTCCATGGCACCCTTCTTACACTTGGCATTAGATTCAGCGATCCCAATTTAACTGGACGATGCGGAATATTACAAAATCCAGTTCGCCAAACAGATCCCACTATCTATCAGGGGTTTTACTGCTGGATGGAAGAAGTCAAACGAACAATATTTTAATATCCTAGTTAACCATTGGGAATGTTCAGATTTAATAGGATCAAAATAAAATAAATGCATTTCCATGATTAACACCATAAGTACTCATTTGATTTATTTAAAATATGTAAAAATAAAATTTGTAAATGAAGGTTAATTATTCTCGACTACATCTTTATGTTTAAAATATATAGATGTATAAAAATGAAGTTTTCTCCGTCTCAGGAAAGTAAAATATATAAATCTAGGAAAGAATTTTTAATCCCGTTTTAATAATTTCTCACGTTAAGCGAGTCTATACCTTATACTTTCTTTGTTATTCTGTTCTTCAAGTGGTATATAAAATCACATTGTATTTCTTTCCGGGCATTTTGAATATAAAATCACATTTCATTTCAAGTCATTTACAGATGTGCTCTTGTATATTATTAGCCAAGGATCTCTTTCTTGTTTAGAATTTGTATTTGTTATCTCTTTCGGAAAAATTATGGTATTTTGATACATATTTGACCTTAATATTCTATATAGGTGTGTTTCAATATTTTCAAGATCAATTATCTGATAAGGATTTTCATATCCTCCTTCATTCAGCAGTGTATTTGATAGACTTTGTACATAACTCTCTGAGGAACTCGGCTTTTCAAAGGACGATATAGTACTGTTGGTTCTTTGCGAAGCTGGTCTGTCGACATTAGATACTGCTTCTTGCACATTGTTTGGTACGCCTTGGATACTCGCACTGTTATCGTGAATGCTTCCAATTTCATAATATTGAACTTCATGTGGAATTTCAGGAACGATTCCTGAATTTCGCTTGCGTTTCAGAAGGCAATAAATATTGAAACATATGCTGAATATAAGACCTCCTCCAATCAAACTACCTATTAGCGTACAGACAAAATCATAACATTTCCCTGAGTTGCTACTGAAGTCTATAATAAAAAAAGTTATGCAATTGTTTCTTTTTCTTGAAAATCATAGAGGTTGTTTATAACGATTCATGTTTAAGTATTGATTGATAAGAGGGTAAATAAAGATTTAAACAAAAGATAAACTTATAATACATTGAAACTCTCCAGGTCTGTTCTTTTTTTTCAGTCCATATGGGTTTTTTTTTATTAAGGGTATGTCTTGTTTGCTATGTCAAATCATTCTAAAGTTAACTTTAAAGGTGCATCAAATTTACTCGTTTACAATTCACCAATAAGAAATCAAAATGAAAAACAGCAACCGAAATCAAAATATATAAAACTCAAAATCATATAGTTTCTAATAAGTTGTCGTTATAAAATTCATGGAACATTATACAAATCCAGTGCTTCAGTCTGCAGTTTTACGCTCTTTTTTTAAACTAACAAATCTATCAGAGTCTACAATTGGCAGTTTGGGTTAAATTGAAAAATGCTTGTATTCGTCACTCTGTTTCAGGAATATTTCAATAAAATATTTCCTTGTTTACTTATGTATGTATTACAGGGAAATTTACAAGCACTTTGAGTATTAAAAACAAAACAACTAAGTTCTGAATTAATGTTGGTCTATGATTGCCAATTAGAAAACCATCCACAAAAGACAATAGGGAAAGGATATAAACAACTATATACATCAGATCATTGTTAAATGGTAAATATGTTAATAATCGCATATGGAGCAGAAAATTGGTACTGCAAATAATATTACTACCAGTGGGTCAATACATCTGCTAGTGGACTTGTTAGTTCCTTAACGTAATCACCAGATCAAGTATCCAGTAATTCGTTACTTGTATGAAAATGTCACTGCTGAAACGCGCATCGGTTGCAGTTAAATTAGCACATGTAATGTTATTGTCTCGAAAACATACATTGTACTCACCTTTAGTTTCAAATGTGCAAATATCTGGTTCTGTACTCGTTACAACATGATTTTTTGTAGACATATCTGCAAAATTTCTGGTACCTAAAATGTACCAATAAAACGTTATATTCTGTGTATGTTTTGTTTATGCATCATTGACAAATTGTCATTTCTACTAGGGTTTTATTTTTCTTTTTGGCTGATGAAGTATGAGCTGTATGTACGTTCGGTTGCAGGTTATCTTATTATACAAAAAGAATAAAAATGGCTAATCGAAAAGCCAAACGGTCTAACATGATTTTTTTTTAAAAAAAATTACAAAAAAACATTATAATATACATATATCAAGTAAACTATTCTGTTTGTTGCTACAGTTGCTTGAAACACATGCTTAAGATTTACATTTTATTCATTTTTCATATGAACCATAATCAAATTTCACAAAGATCGTATGTAGAGGTTGCCAAAGTCTAAATTGAAGTATCAACGAACACATTAAGCTCCACTAGTCAACGAAAAATCGCTTAATCTTCTTTTTTCCCCTTCATAGTTTCGCAAATTGGTTATTCCTGCTTTTGATAATTTTTTTTTTTAAAGTTTTAAGCCGAAAATAGGTAATTAATTTTACGTACGTGTTGCGCTTACGTTGTAAACATCTGTGTAAACTGTTGATGAGTGCACATACTCACACTTGTATACACCATCGTCATCTGACAAGAAGTTTGTAATCTGCAAGTTGCAATTGTGAGTATCGTATCCACCAAAAATCCTATATTTTGATTTATGTAGTCTTGGATTCAAATCCATTCCCTGTGTGTATGGTATCAAAGCACCAGCATTTGGTGCTAGTATCGTATTTGGACCTCTCCATTGGCCATTACACGCATTAAAGCAAGTGCAATTCAAAATCAAATTTTCTCCACGGTTTACCAACACTGACTGTATGGTTTTTTTACCTTGCATATTATCTATAAAAAAAAAATATCGCATTGTATGCTCGTCTTTTGAAAGACTTGATTTGTATTTTGTGTATTTCTCAATAAAGCAAAAATGTACCCAAGTAACATATTTTCTTTATAACACTTTGATCTTATCGATATTCATCTAATAATATTTAAAGTATTTATAATAGCAGATTATACATGTGATTGACACTAATACCAAATTACTCATTAGTTATATTTTACCCCAGTCTATTAACTGTCGAATGAGTAATTCAGCTCTACAGACACAACGACAAATGTTGTTACGTTTCACTTTTATCAAATACACGAACATGTAAACATATATTTATATGAAGGTCGCTTATCTTGTAGATGATAAACAAAGATAATATTAATTCAATACGGAAACATTAGCGAAAGGTGAAAGTCAAATCAATAGAAATTTAATCTCAACCACACTGCATGTGAATTTAGATATAAGCCTTACGATTTTTATTAAATCCATTTATTATCCATGAGGCATTGGACAAAATTTAATTGTGCGAAAATAATACATAGGAATGACCCAATTTTGATACAACCGCTAACTTCACAATTAGGAAAACAAAAGAGACAGCGACAATTACCCATAAAAAAACACGTCTCAATGCAGATACGTGTATATTCAGCTTAAAAATTCGACTTCGATTATCTAATATTTGAGTTTTATTCAACTGATCTGTTTACCCTATGTTTGTATCATATAAATTAAAAAGACATTTGTCATTGCTTTATAAAATTTTTAAGTACTTTTTAATTATCCATATATAAAACAGTACCTTAAACCTTTCGATTCTAACTGCTAACTCCGATTCCATGACTATATTTGAATGCTCTGTATCAAAATGTATCAAGATGCATTTTAGTAGTATAACGCAGCATTTTTTATATATTCAATTCAAAATAAATAAAAGTACTTATTCTATCCATTGTCCACACATAGGATTTTTAATATCTTAAATACATTACCAATATTATGTCTGGAACATCCCGGAATTTTAAATATATCTGCAGTAGAGCCTATAACAAATGATAAAAATATAAATATCAACTAATTATTAGAATTACAACAAACAACATATGAATACATAATCTAATGATCTTAATGGTTCGATTAGTCTCTGTTCGAACAGTTAATTAGAAACATCAATGAATTCATAAAAATATATAATGTTCTAACCATACTATATATATATAGCTACTGATTGAGCATAGGTCTTGAATGAATATACAATATACATAAACTAGTATAATAGTAACGACTATTTAGGTAATTTACCATCCGCATAAAGAAATTGTCCATCCTAAAATCTGCCTGAAGGAGTAAATGACATATGAAACTGCCTAAAGTTTATAAACCTAATGTTGTTAGGTATAATTTGATAAATTTATTTTAAATATTGTTTTAACATATTCAATGATTCTCATCTCCACACATCATCATATTTTTAATGTTTTTCCTTACTTAATTGTTGTGTCATGAAATCATTGTTTCTTCTAAGAAGAGATCCTCTTGGTGCAGCTACGAAAAATGAAACGAAACGGTCTCTGTGTTTACTAAGATCAGTGCCATAGCGTTGGACTTTCTTTAACAGACATTTGATGCACTAAATGTCATCTAATGGTACGCTAGTTTGTGATCATGGACCATAAGGATGTCAAAAGAGATTATTATACTGTTTGCGAATTTCTTATATTATCCATTCATTTCATTGGACACACTTTTAATTTTCACTAACCTTTCATCAGCCCCGCTCACCAATAGTAACATGTAAAAATATTAGCAACAGGTGTTAATGCCTAAAAGTAACACCCGCTGAGTACGAAGTTTGACGATCCGGAACAATAAACACCCGTTCCGATTTACCGATTTACCGATTCATATTTCTACATCATTTCCCTCAATTTGTTGTTGTTATTAACTATCTTAATTTATGACTTTATTTTTGTAAAATTGTCCTTGGAATAACACACTTGAATCATAAGGCATTTATTATAATAAAAAAACATACTGCCCTTGGATGAATGTGTTATGGTGATTAACACACTCGGTGAAAAAAATATCACCCGCGACTTCATCTTGGGTGATAATTATTTCCCTCATGTGTTAATCTACCCTAACACCGTCATCCAGAGGCAGTATGTTTATAATAAATGCTTCGAACTTCTTTAAACATTTATAATTGATTTGAATAATTATTCTTACCTGTGAGTGTGTCTGTAAGAAGAAGAACTAGCAAATACTGACTTTCCATACCTATATAATAATATGTGTATGTATGTTTCTTATTCTATGCAACCTCAAATTTAAAGTAATGATTTCTTAGAACACATCAATCAGACGCGAAAACTAACTTATATACTATTATACTTGTTTGTGCAAATTACGTTTATTTCATGTAAATTATTATCTTCTTATTTTCATTTTCTTTTTTTTTTTGTATTTTCTTGAATTGAATTGATTGTTCGTTAGAGGTAACAATATTCCTATTACCCTGCATGTCGATCCACAATAAGTTTATGATCTGATTTCTAACACGGTACAAGGGCATTAGTATCTGCATTGGCCAACACACTGCTCAAATGAAATAGGTAATGCACTCATATTCGAGTTTTAATAGCCGTTTAGCACATGTTCCTACTGTTGTTTTCATAGACATGATAGATATAATCCACAGCTCATATTTTTTTTTCAATTAACAACACACATAATTGAACAATAAACACATACACACAATCTTCTTCGAACCCATACTTATACTGTGTATATTTAGACCTAACCAAAATGATCCATTTTTTATTTCTCCTTTCCATTTTTTTTTTTAAAACAACAAATATATTCCTGTCAATATTGTTTAAGGTACGACATGAAATTTCAAAGAGTCGTAAGCATGTTAAAAAATATACTTGCCTTTCAAGATTGAAAATATTCTTCCATGAAAGAGGTTCTAATGCAGGCCTACAACAACAAATTCTTGAATATCAATTTCCATTTTTGTTTTCATCTCAAAATTGAAACAAAAAGCAACGACTATATTACTGTCAATATTGCTGAGTAAATAGGCAACCAACGTTTCGAACAATTGAATTGTTCAATAACCTATATAAAAATGCGAATATATTTTTCTAAAATCGGAACTCAATTAGAGCGATATGTTATAGACTTTGTAAATTTTGTTAACAGGAAGTTTAATGACTGTGGTCGCCAACAATACCAATTGTTAAAAAAGATTATCTAAGTTTTTTGGTTCATAAACTTGTTGCGTTCAAAAATGAAATAGTTGATGCATCATTTGTTTTCTTACAAAACAAATGTCACAAACGTAAAAGAATGGTTTTTATATGAATGACACCAATATTTAGAACGAATACATCTTAATTTAAAAGAGTCATATTAATGTATATGAGACTAATATTTACAATGAGAATGTAAGATGAGAAAGGTATAAACAACCATAGTTTATTGTAAGGTTTCAACAGTGAGCAAGACAAATACCAAAAAAGGAAGCTATGACAAACCATGGCAAGCTAAAATGGGAAACAACTTTATTCTTCAGATCGGCATAAAGCAATAGAAATTAACAGAAACACAAAAAGCTCAAAGTTCAAATGAAAACAACTCACAATTACTGAAAAGCAGGTTAGAGTCAATTTCAACTATGTTTTTTCAGATTAAATATCTATCAGCTCATACCCAACGTATTTAGTGTGAATATGCATAAAAACATAAGAAAATTCTGCAGAGTAAAATGTAAGCATTAACCGGATGTATGACCATTAGTGTTCATATTAACTATATCTGGAAATGCAAAACTATCTATGTTTTCATTTATTGAAATTAGAATGTTTGTAACATGTAGGAATTACCCTTAGGAGATTGGTCTGAGCACTCCTTTGAGATTTTGCAGTAATATAATGTTTAATTTTGCAATAGGTATATGAAGAGCAAGCTCAGAACAACTGATATCTGTGTTCATTTAGGGGAGATGTATTTTGATTCATAAATATAAGTTTAGAACTAAAAAATATAATTTTATTTCTTGTTTGATTTAAACAAAAATAAATTTGAAATTTAATAGATCTTCATGAAACATCCGTCATTTAATTTGCTCTTGTATAACTTTATACGCATCTCCCACCATGTTAAATCTGTAGATTTTTCCCAACTTTTATTTTACAGTGCATATTACTAGTTTCTTCGTTTTTCTGGGTTTCATTAATATGTGTACTTGATCTTTTTTGATAAAAAAAAATCCGAATATTCTCTTTTAAAACATGTTGCTGTTGAAATACTTTAAGCGGTTTTTAATTTCTAACTCCTTTTAGGTTTTGCTAGAGACTGTTGATAATTATAGAAATGATGCATTAGAATCTCATTAAGAATAAACAGAATAATCATATATCATGACGTTCCCCTATTTAATGATGACCTCTTAATAAATATTGATAATAATGGTGACTATGTTTAAGTCATCTAGCCGATAAAATGAAAATATAGAAGCAGTTTACCTTTACTTCATTTCTCGATCGACTCACATTCTGTCAGCTGTTGATTAAATTTACGATAACAAAGTTAAGGTCGATTTGAATAATACAAACATTCAATTTTTCTATGCCAACATTGAAAGAGCATACTGATTTCCACGATAGACATTTCCTGCTCAAAAGCAGGGTATTAAATTAAGGGTTTCAAATCATGGTAAAATTGTATTATCCTCGAAAATTTACGAACGCGTCATCATGATTTGTTTAACCGTTATGAAATATCTGTGCCACATATCTGTCTTTTTTTCAAAGATTATTGTATAGCCGTTATTTAAGCTGTCATAAGAAGATCGGTAATATCAAACGATGCTAGGAACCATTTGGCCTTTTTGAGATATATTTTATTTCTGTTCGAAATAGTGGACAGCAAAGAAAAATACTTTACTTCTATATATAATTATAGCTATTTCCAT